GTGTGGTAATCTGTCCATAGGCTGACATTGTGTCCATGTGTTGTGGAAGTGGTCCCGGGATGCACAGGAATCCCTTTGTCTACTCTGTTTCAGGCAGAACATTGAAGTTAGGCAAAGTCAAGAAAAATAGCATCCAACTGCATTCCTTAAAAAAGAATCTCATCACAGTTTAATCTGTTCCTGGCTGGTGTGTTGTGAACTCAAAAAGTCATCTTCTGTCCAAATACAACAATCCAAAATGAAAGGTATCCTGACACTTTTAAGCTGACTGTGACATTAAAATGAGGGGCTTTTTGCCTGCTTGGGAGTGCTAGAAAAGAAATGAAGTTTTATCTAAATAGGAAATGTACTTGGATTAGAGAGTAGTGTCTCTGTCCTCTGGGTACACAAATATAATGGAGCATATATGGAAGGAGGTGAATTCAATTTAGCTATATTCTGTGGAAAATGAAGCCATGGGGAGCAAGGTGGTTGGACTCAGAGTCCCAAAGGCCATCTGTGTAGGATTTTACTTAATGCAGCGGTGCAGAAGAACGTCCAAGGATCATATGACAGGCAGATCTGTTAAACGGCCTTTACTTTAGGTCTTACCTGTGCCTCTGTTTGATGGGGACTGGCCAAAGCTTTGAAATATGGTGTACTAATACCCATCCGAGTGCCTTATCATTGCCTATGTCCCTGCATAGAGCTCCTTTTTAACACTGCTTTGCAGTGAGTAAGAAGAGGCTGTACAAGGTGACATTTCATCTAAAGCTTCTGCATATGCGGTCTTTGGACTGAATCAAAATTGCTGGTGCTCTTTGCGTGACAAAAGAGCATGGAGTCCAAGATAAACCGAAGAGAAGAGATCTGGATATGCAAGCCTTCATTTTTAAAAAAGGCATCTTTCATCTTGCTGACAGTGAAGTTCCTGTAGCGCTTTGATTGCCCTTTAATTATGCCTGTTTTTCCTGGTTTGTCTGAAAGGCAGATCTTGTTAGAAAAAGGTGCTGCGTGGAAAGAACTTGGCTGTCTCTGCTGCCCTTCCTTGAGGGCACACAACAGAGCTACTGGATTAATTTTTTCCTGCATTATTAGAATTGAAGATTGTTTCTTGTAGACTTGAACATAGGCACAGTGCATTTCTTAGGAGTTATGAGCAGAGCGGGGTGAGTGGTTGTATGGTTAAAACTCAGCAGAAAGTCATGAGGTCCAGGTACTTCCCACACTGACTTCCATGATGATCTCAGAGGAGTTTCTGTAATTCTTCTGCTTTACTTCCTTTTTTGTAAAGCTGGGTCACTGCTTATCAACCCCAGAGATTGCAGGAAACTGAATGTGGTGTTAGGAGACTCTTGGGTGGAGGAGTATCCATAGCATGTTGGGGTGAATGTTTCTAGCTGTGGGGTTTTAGCAGAGTGCTCAAGCCCTTGCCAGCTCAGGTTTTATGCTACTTGGTGCTTTAACTGAAAGCCCCGCTGTTGTGGAGCCATTTGTCTTGATGAGAATCTCAGCTTTCATTAAAAAAAAAAAAAAAATGGGGAGAGAGAGAAGGGGGGGGGGAAATGCCAAAGTCTGGCTTTAGTTGGAGAGAAAAGCCTGGAAATATGATTTAAATATAGACTAAAGGCTTAACTGCCAAACAAGCAAAATGACTCAAGAATAGGTTTCTAATCCCTTTAAAAATCTCTGTTTAAAAGAAAATCTCCCTAACTCTTGAGGGTTTTACACATGTTTAAGTGCTTGGGCTTGATAAACTCTATTTTTAAGTGCTGTCTTTATGTTGAGTCTTAGGAGATGAGATGAATTTTTTTTCTTTTAAGTAACAGCAAATCTTAATATAGCTGAGAATGCGGAACTGCCCTTAGAAAAATAGGTTGGACACATGAAAAGGAATCTTGCTCAGCAAGCTAAAGATGCAGAGCAACTTCTGTGGTTACGTTTTTGTTTCTTCTGGCAATTTTGGGGTGGGGATGTAGCTGGCTCAGTAACTTGGGCTTACGTTTCTTTAAGAACGCAAGTCAAATCTTCCTGAAGAAAAGTGCCTGGCTGAAACTGTTTTGGCCCAAACTGGAAGAGCTGTTTTCTAAAACTCTGTTTTGTGGAATTTGAGGCAACTTCACGCTCGGGGAGGCAGGGGGAAAGGACACAAAAAGACACGGAATTACGGACTGGATGGGGAAAAGTAGATGATCCTGTTGAACTGAAATGCCTTTGAATGAATGGGTGAAGACAGGCTGGGTCCCTTGCTTCAGGGAGGCGCATAAGAGGTGATCAGGTTTTAGTTGTCATTTGCCTAGAGTCCAGAAGACTTAAAATAGAATGAAAATGAAGTCAGCTGTTTAAAGCCAGAACTAATCAAATATGGAGAATTTACAGTAGGAGGATAATCTTTGTCATCTGACAGACTATCCCAAATTCCCACGGGATACCCGTGCAGCTCTGCTGTAATAGCATGTATCTGTCGTGTTGAGACCAAAGCTCCTACCTTTAGCCTAGAGTGCTCTACGTGCTTTGCATAGCTGGTACACCCAGGCTGCAGGGAACCTCGCTGTCACTAGGATGTGGAGAAAGGTGAAAACTTAAAACCTCTTTTCTCCAGAAGAGAAGTGATACTGTTTCCTAGGGAACTCATAACTGATGTGCTCTTTTGAGTATACTGGAGTACAGTGGTGTGAAACTCCAGTGAAGAGAGTTTTCCCCGCCCCCTCCCCTCCCCAAAACTTTGAGGCTGTGAACCTTTTGGAACGGCTGCTCATTCATGTTTTAAAGAACAGTCTTTTTTCATACAGATGGAAGGGCTGTGTGTGAATATTCATTATGAGTAAATAAACTTAAAATTAAAATTTAAAATGTAAAATTATGCAAACACCAGAGTTAAGGCTTTCTTAAAAAACAAACAAACAAAAAAAAAACCCTGCTCAAGAAACACTGTTGTTCAGGCTGTGCATGTATCTGATTACATAGTTCTGAAAAGGGTGAAAGCAATTCCAGACTCCTTCAAGCTTTCCCCTGGAGTGTGCCAGTGCTGCAAGCAAAATGCCCTTTTAAAGTTGAAAGCAGTAACAAGGGGAGGGGGTGGATAGAAGTTGGCAAAACACTATCTGAGTTAGTCTGTTGAAGACTGAGTTTATTCTGAAATAACGCTCTTGGCTGTGACTGTGATGTATTTACTTGTTTCAAAAAAGTTGAGGCGTTGCCTTAAAACAACAAGGGTTTTAGGATGTTGACACAAGCAGGAAGGCGAGTGGGCAGAATCAGTGTTAAACAATCGCTTACCGTAGGTACTGCTTCAGCGCCAGTTGCGTCTCGTGCAGTTTTGCATCTTGGGCTGTAGAACTTGAAATGCGGGTAGTCGTGGTTGGTGGGGGGGAAGGTTTCTGCCAGTGTGACTTCCTGACATTTATTAGATAATTCACACGTTTCAATCTGTCCCCACTCAAGTGGGACAGTGGGGGTGTTCTCAAGTCTGTGAAGTTGTGTGTGTTATTTGCATACACCAGCTCCCAACTTGAGCAGCTGCACTGGGATTGCAAACTTGGTGTCCGTGGTGCTCACAGGGGTTGCAAGTTGCATATGAAACTTGAACTTTCAGACTAAAGCTGTAATGAGGGAAGGTGCCTATCTGTACAATGCTTTTTGTGGGGGCTTTTTATAATACTATGTGCAAAGAAAAAAAGAAAAACAAAAGCTTATATCACTAACCTGATGTAGGTTATTCAATTTCCATTTTCTCCCTTTTGTTAAAAAAATGAAGAACATTGGCTTCTTTGTATAGGTCTACAATGATAAGCACTTAGCAAAACATATCAAAATGAAACTTGTTAAGCATTTCAAAGTCAACTTTGAGACTTTGTAATACTAGAAAGGTTCCAGAAGGTGGCACTAATTCACTGCAGTGATTGTCAGACTGGTGCTTAATGCAAAATAAGTGAGCAATTAGGTGATGGGACAGCGATTCCTGCAAAATCTCTGAGAAGATACTTCTGGCTCCCAAGGCTTTGCTTTTTTGAGGCATGAGTTCCCAGCTGCTGCTGCTCTTGAGGCATAGAGGAGAGAAACCATTACGGGTCTTGAAGAGCTTAGCTCATAAATTCCTGGTAATTAATTGTTGCAACTTCTTCTGAGACATACCAGTGATGCACGCTGTGTCTGGAGAAAGCTTGGCACAAAGCAAGTACATGTTCTGGACAGAAGGTACTCTGGTCTAGCTGTTCATACACACATCAGAAAATTTCTTCACTCTTGAGCAGCGCAAAAGTTGTTCTCTGGGGTTTTTAGGCAATTATAAAAATGAAATTATACATGCTGAAAATCACTCTTAATTCATTTTTCCCATAATTCAATTTTTTTAGAGTAATGGAAACATTACTCCCTCCCTTTTGCTCTGAGCATCAAGAGGATATTGTAGGTTATACTGGGGAATATTCAAGTTGATGTTCACATCTTTAACTGTAAAGCCCAGGAGCTCTTCCACTGAAATGATGGGATGTTCCTGTGCATAAAGTTAGTACTTCTCTAACATAATAGTTTTTAATATTATTTTTAAAGGACGAAACAAGTAATTTCAAGCTTAAGCTGCACTCATAGCTAAGCTTGTGTTCCTCTGTCCAATTTAATGTAAATTGTTCTAAGTGTGGCCGTGTTCCTAGCAAGATGGTAAAACACTGGCCAATGAAGACCAGGTATCAGAGAATTTCTTTTGCTAAATGTTCGATCATGGCAAATGAGATCTCTTGGACAGAAGTATCTAGGAAAGATGTGTGGAATTGTTCGTGAAACATGATAGTTTGTTTAAATTCACTCTGGCAAAGTGTTTTTGGTTGCCTGCAATGACTGGTTTATGTGAAGAATTAAGAACGTAATACTGCTTTTTGTGAATTTTATCTGTTAGCTCAAGAGGTCCTACTTGTAGTGAAGACGACCAGCATTTGGATCCCAGCGCTGAGTAGTCTGTTGCTCAGTGGCCTGCCAGGAGTTTATGCGTCTCTGCTGACGGGTACCTGTTTCCTCTTTTGCAGGTCTTCATTTCTGTGAACTGCCTCAGCACAGATTTTTCCTCTCAAAAGGGAGTTAAAGGCCTGCCCCTGAATCTTCAAATTGACACCTACAGCTACAATAACAGAAGTAACAAACCAGTCCACAGAGCCTACTGCCAAATCAAAGTCTTCTGTGACAAGGTAAGGTTGGGGTCAGTCTGCAGTGACACTTTGGGAAAGGCTGTTCCCCAGTTTAAAGGACTCTTTCCTTTCTTTTTCTGCCACTTGCTATTTTGACTCGTTGAAAACTCCATGTGTTCAGCCTTTGCAAGAAAAAAATTTCAACTGTTTTTGCTTGGCTCAGAGATGTTAACGTGACCTCAGATAAGTCTGCTGCTCTCAGAATGGTGAAGCATTGAGAAATGTTCCCAAGCACTGTGTCAGCATTGACTTTGGAAGAAGGTTGGTCAGTGGAGGAAGACACTGAATGTTGGCACTCCAAACATGAGAAGGCTCAATGGAGTTAGTCCTCAGTAGGAGGAGAAATCATTGCAACTGATTTGAACAAACTGAAGCTTTCGTTTTTGCCCAAACTATGTTGTGTGGCTCCTTTCAAACTTCTTTGTGTGTTCTTACAGTGTTGTTTTTTTTGTTTCATTTTTGAAAATGAAAAGCTTTGCACATCTCGCAAACAGCAATACGTTACAGTTTTCATTGTGCTCTTGTGAAATACAGAACTATAATGAAACCAATTTATAGGCTAGGTGGGTGCTGTAATTTAACTGCTCCGCTTAACATGTTTAGCGCTCAGAGAACAGACACCTTTTCCAGAGTTACTGATCACCTGAGGCTGCAAAAGAAGCAAAGCAGAAGCTGAGCTGAAAGCAGTTATAAAAGCTTAAGTGTCCCCTCTTTGCAAACCTAATTATGTCTTCAGCCTTCATAACCTGTTCCCCTCTGAACAGATTTTTGAAGGAGCAGAGCAATTAATGTGCGGTGTTGCTATTTCCAGAACAACCAAGATCTTTCTAGGCTGGGATGACCACTGCCCCCAACTTCCCCAGTCCCTCTTTTGATCCCTGTGAACCACAGGGGCTTCCTATTTTGCTGGCATCCTATTTGATTAGGGCCTCTCAGTCTTTGCATCCAGACTTTGCCTTCATTAGCAAGGACTCCTCACAAGTGAGATCTCTAATGCTTCTCTGCGCAGCTACAGCTCTCAGCGGACTCGTCATCGCCCCTCTCGGTTCTTGTCCTGGCTTTGCACTGGTCACGTACTGTGCAGTCTTGCCTTGTCGTTCCCCAGGACGCTGCTGCGAAGGTCCTTCTACCAAAGCCATTGCTCTACCCCTGCTTACATCCCAAAATGGAGCCCTCTCCAACCTGCCCCTGCTCTGGTATCCCATTGACCGACCCATCCTGCCAAGTTTTATTGTCTGTCTCTGTTTTTAGAGGCCTCTTTGCTTTCCTTCGTGGCTAGGAGAAGCTGTCTGTAGTCCTCAGTATAAGGCTGTTTGGTCATTTTCCTTCACGTGCCTTCTGAGAAGTCTCCTGTTGTGATGAATTTTACCAAGAATTTTCCAGAATTATGAATGTTGTTCTCCAGAGTTGCTGCCCTTTCTCTGATGCTCTTCTGTCATAGTGTCTCCCTCAGCTTTTATATGGAGAGACCCTGTCCCTATCATATTGTTTTGCTCCTGTTGTATGTAGAAAGGCCCTGTCTTAAGGACTTGCCAGTCCCTCTGTTGTGTGGTAGATCTTGGCTTTTTTTATCTTGTTCTTTTATTTTCTTTATAATACGGAGAGGCTTACAAAGCTTGGGTCTCCCAGATATTATTCAGGCCCAAGTCTTGTAGGCCCCCTACCCCCCACCCCCTCTCTTACAATGAGCCTGAGGAGAGTCTGTCATCTAAAACTCTTTGATTATCTTGGAGTCTTATATGTAGTATTGAACTTTATTCTGTAGAATACCAGTGAGTGTAAACCTGCTTCAGGGAAGGGAGGGATCTTTTACTTATAAGTTGTCCAGTCAATTACTGACATGGTACTGAAATTACTGACATGCTTGCACCACTTCTAAGAAGGTGAGTTAGTTAATAAAAGGGCAGACATGCAGTCAGTACATAGCTTAAAGTAAACTGTTTGAATCTATGTTGTAAGTTTCAACAAATCCAGTTATACAGTAACACTACAGTATCCTGTATTTTCCTTTTGATTTTTCTACCTTTCTTCCTGGTTTATTCTTCTGGGTACTTTGCTGATTTGACCTGAATTGGAAGGGGAGTGCGAGAGGAGATTACCTTTGTGCATTTAATCTGCCTGTTGTACATGCTGTGAACATGTGGTCAATGTGGGGTTGATGCCTGATGATTCTGTGCCATTATTTCTATTGAAATGATGTGGAAGTTTCAATCTTTCAGATCCGGCCTGAACCAGACGGTGGGGCCAGGGATAGATGCTGACAAGCTGAATGTTATTAGTTACCATGTTGGATCAAACTGTGTTTGCAAATGCCCTAGGCCGGGTCTGGCACTGGGGGAGCACTCCAGTGAGCAGCCCTGTGTTCCTACAGAATCCTACAGCAGATACTGACCCACAAACCCTGATGCTGGCTTTCCTCTCCAGACTCCTGTAATCAGCATTTCAGAAAGAGCAGCCATTTTCCAGCAACAGCCCTGCTTTGAATCTGAAGTAATCAGTCAGCTTAACTTGAATGTCTATAGGACCATTGTTGCTGTCATATGCACAGATATTAATGTATTTGTCCTCACGTTACCACTCTTCTCTGTAGAAGTGCTGCTTATCCCTGCTTTATTAACAGGGAGCCAAGTCTGCATGCTATTTGGAATAAACCAGCACAAAACGATCATACTTTGGCTACTTAACTCCAACACCTCTGTGTAGACCTGCTCTAGCCTTTTGCCTATTAAGGCTGGGTCTACACTGCATGCTTGAACTGCCTTTGAACCTGAACACTGGAAGACAATCCTCTATAGTTTGTATTTTTATGCACAAATCGGTAAGTATCCAACAGGAGGTCAGACAATTTGGTTAATGTTGTGCGGTGGCCTTTGCATAGCAATGGAGTGAAGGAGGAGAGCTTCCCTGCTTAGGTCAGGGAAGGGGAACTGCTACTGGTTGTTCCCAGTTATTGGCTGCTGCCCAAGCCTAGATGTCACTGTAGGTTTCTCTCTTCCCCCCGCTCTCTGTGTGGAAGTGGGCCTGCCTGTGCCCAGGAGGAATGTCTCTCCTCTAATCATAGGTGGTTTTGAGGCCTAAATAGAGATGTAATAATGTTGTCTGGGAAGTTACAGCACAAGTTTGGTTCAGGTTCGCCCTGGCAGTACCTGGGCGATGCAGGGAGGGGGCTGACCTGTACCAAGGAGAGACCTGCTTCTCTGGTATAAGCAGTGCTTTCAGCTAAGCACCCCCCAGGGAGGAGAAGATTGAGTACAGGGTTTCATGGGCCACAGCTAGTGCCTCTCCTCTAGGACCTGCCTTTACTCTTATGGCAATGATCAGTGCTGTTGGGAGATGTTTAGAAATGGTCAGAACAGGAGAGTGAGGCACTACAGGGAGGAGAGAAGTGTTGTGAGGTGACTGGAGGCAGCAGTTGATGCATAGTAACATAGAGACTCTTCAGTTGCATGATGCAAAGTACATGCTACACTGCCCTAGTGGGATGAGGGGAAGAGAGGAGGGAAATCCTTCTGTCCTGCTTTCGCCAGCTGGGTAAATGCACCCTAGAAGTTGCTAAAGCTCCTGTAAAGAGCAACTTCCCTTACAGCAGCTTCCCTTTTCCTGTCTGACCTACTTGGTGAACCCAACAGCAGAGAAACAAGACTTCAAAGCCGCAATCCTGCAGATCTGTGAAAAGCATTGCTTTTCCAGCTTCTCCCTCTGTCAGCGCTGGGGCAGCCTGCATGCTGTGGGTCGTGAGCTCAGACTGCTTCCAAGAGTGGTGTGCCATAATTAGACTTGGTTTAGTGTCCCCTGACACCCTTGTGTCTTCAAGCCCCTTTGCCCTAGTTTCCATGAATGGGAGAGTATTAGGAGTGGAAGTTGCCTGCAGTGACATTTCTCTGCCAGCTGAACACCCTGCCTCTTTTCTCGAACGTACAGACATCAAACTCGCTGACAGGCAGTCCAGCTATTTCACTGGAGGGGAAAAAAGCCTCTGCTCTGCTATGCTGCCCTGTTGACAGTCTGTCTGGCAGCTCAGCTGCTGGAGCTGCAGGTTAGAAGCAGGCACCTTGTAGGTATGCTGCTCGCTGGGAAAAGCCCTCCAAGTCGGGCCACGTGGAAGGCTACCGCAACTGCTCACCCAGTTATTTGCAGGCTGTATACCAGAGCTGTAGCCAAAGTGAATGTGTAGTGGCACTTGGGAGCAGCTCTCCCATCTTCGGTGGAAGTCTGTCTTAGGCAGTGTGTGTAACGAAGCTGGGGATCCCACGGTGCCCTGAAGACCCTGGGTCTGACTGTGCGTTCTGGCTGTGTAGTGACTCTGCTTTGCACCATCTCCCCATGTACTTACTGTTACCAAGCCAGGCTCCTCTGGAGGAGGGAGGAATGACAGCATGCTCCCGATTGTAGCTTTCTTTTTGTAGCCCAAGAATCTGTTGCAGAACCGGAAGATTTAAAGGGGAGGGGGAAATCACCTGCAGTGTTTAACATACTGACAAGAGTGTGAAATCTTGCATTCCAGGCTATCCTCTAGGTGATGAAGTTGAGAACTTCCTTATTAGCCTATTTTTTCTGCAGCTGTGAAGTATCTGATCCTGGCTCTGTCAGTGACAAGCTGAGCTCTGCTGACTCTGGTAGATGTAGCAGAACGGCCTGTGTCAAACCTGACTTTTGTTTTTTATGTGGATTTGAGATGTTCTTCCCTAGGCCCCTGTAACCTGGAACAAGTTGACTTTAAAACAAGATTGTGTGACTGTGTGACATGGGAGGATCAAGGAGGTTTTCCTGAAATGCGTTGTGTTGGCGTTTTGTATGTTATCTGCTACCAAGATGGTGGTGGTCTGTAGCACAGTGTTTGAGTAGCAGAATTTTGATTTATTGTGAAAGATGGAAAACATAGGACTGCAGCTAAATCTAATCTTTCTACCACTTCTGCTGTCAGACTGAGATGTTATAACCTTTCTGGTAGGGGAGGTTGCAGATAGATTCAGGCTCACTTCTGCTGAGGTCTGGGTGGGTCATCTTCACTAGCCTGGGAGCTTCAATCGACTTTAAACCTCTTCTTCTGGATTCCTGGGCTTTTGGGGGCTGAGCTGAGTCTTAAGCTGGCAATGGCTGTGTCTACACTAGTACTTTATTATTATTATGTTTTTCCTCCAGCAGCTGACTTAAGTTCCTTGCCCCTCTGCTATGAGCTGGGAGGGGGAAGGTCACAGATGTTAATGTGCATGAGATATTTAGGCTAATTCTCCTTTTAATTCTGGTGCTGACATCCCCTCTGCTACCCAGCAGGCAATAACATCCTGTTGTGCATAGGGTATTGATTTACTGTGAGGTAAATCCCTATTACTCTTCTCCTTGACACACTGTGCATTAGGCACTGTTTCCCACCCCCTTGCTACATGTTTTTTTGACATCTCATCAGCTATGGCTAATCTCTTCTCTCCCCCCCCCAGCACTGTGCACGCATGTAGGTGTGTTACTGCCAGCTTTGCAGGGGTGGGAGTAAGAAATAACGGCTTCCTGTAATTCCCCTGTGGCCAGGTAACTGTTACCCTGCTTTACAGGAGGGCACACAGAGACAGACTGAGCTCGTGCGCTCCTGTTTAGGCAGTGACCTGATGTTAACACCAGGATTGAGTATTAGGGATCTAATATGGGCTTATCACCTTGTGCAGCTGGCAACGCGACCTCCCTGATTTAACCCACAGCCGCGCAGGAGGCCTGTGTAGAGCTGGAGAAGCAAGCATGATTCCAGTGTGTGGAGTTACAGTCCACAGCCTCAGACAAATAAAAAATCTTTCCCTCCATCATAGCTACCCGCTGGTGCCTTGCGGAATACACGTATGTCTCCCCACCGCTGCTTGGTTTAGAGGGTCAGGAAGTGTGTGGGCAAGTACCCAGTTAGCTATTTGTGGATTCCACTGTAGCCTGGCACTCATAAAAGGAGAAAAAGTAATGCTTACTTTAAACTAATGGATGTCTACAGCTTTAGATCTGCAAAGGCTAGTACAGCTAATGCTGATTCCAAGGGCAACATGCAGGTAAGTATCTTGCACCTTTAGGAGGAGAGGTGGTCTAAGTGTGGCTTGATTTTTTTTTATAGATCAGGATTTAATGATTGTTTAGTGCACCTTCTAATTAGGGAGAACTTGCAGATTGTTATTGTTTTAAGCATTTCAGATATATTTTATCCCACACATACCCACAGCTATAACAACTGTCTATCTTTTGTCATAATACCCCTACCTGGTTTGAAAGAAAAGCAAGTGGTTGTGTATTGGGAAAGGTTGCTGGTTTCGTTACATGACAGGACTTCAAAAAACACTGGGCAGCTCTCAATAATGGCTGTTCTGGCCAATGTCAAGGATTGCTGTCCCTGCCTGGGCAGCCAAAAAACAAACTGAAAAGACCTTTTCTCCTCCCCTCCCTTCATCTCGCCTGGCAGGGAGCAGAGAGGAAGATCAGGGATGAAGAGCGAAAACAAAGCAAAAGAAAAGGCAAATGCAGTGACCCCAGCTCTCAATTGAATGCCTGTAAGTAGAAATTATTCTGTGAGTGTTTAGAATATTATATCTCATTTTGGTGACAAATAACGTGAGGAGTAGCTCTCTCCTATAAATAAGACAAATTTTATCCTACTATGAAGTAGTTTTTGCTTTAAGACAATGTTTTTGGAGCCATGAATAGTTTTGCAACATACTGGATCACTTAGGAGTTCACTTCTGCACAGTTCTCCCTGCCCAAAACAGGGTCCTGCTACATATTTAATTAGGTTATATATTGTAACAGCTGAAGTGACATGGTGAGGGTGAGATTTAATTTTAACTTCTATTACAAATGTGCTTACAGCTGTGCAGCAAGATCACAGCAGGCTTGGGACTGAGCCCCTAGTCTCCTAGCCCTACGCTCAATCTTCTGTTTCGTAATAAAACTATTAAATAATTTCAATACCAATAATTTCTTGATACGTCAAGGTGATGTGGAGGCCACAGTACTCTTAGTTCATAAAGGCTGTTGAGCTACTTCCTTTCAAGCATCTTTCCTTTAGCTGCTGCGGAGGTTTTTGTATTTTGACTCCCACAGAGCCTATGTTTTGATGACTAGTTACTCATTAACAAACCTGCTTAGAGGAAAATGCATCTCCCTGCTCTTCCTTTGCATGAGGCAGGTGCACGCTATCCCTTGCTCTGCTTGGTGTGCTTGTCAGCACTGGCCTATTAACAGTCCAACTGGTTCAGCAAGCGTTTGCTTCACAGCTTGTTGGGCAGGATTTTCCTGACGCAGCAAGTACTGGCTGCTGGAGCAGCTTCAGAAGAAGATGATGGTATGAGGGAACCCATTTGCTCAAGGGCAGTTGCAGAAAGGGCTGTGTGTGGGGTGTTTTTTTTTTTTTTCCCCCTCCCCTTAAGTACATCATAAAAGGTAACTCTAACGCACTGTTAGCATTTCACAAATGTAATAGCCCCAAATGACTCCCAAAAGATTACCACACACAGCGCTTTGTGTAACGCCTGGAAAGGGCAAACACAATTTCAATAGTGATTTCTACAGTCTTGCAGTTTTACAATAGCTGCTTTTCAGTGTGAATTTCCTGGGCTTGGGCTTAGCCCAACATGACCTTTTTCTTTTTCTTTTTTTTTTTTTTCCTGGAAAGTACAATCCACTGCTGCTTAACTGTTGCATGGGGAGTTTATTATTTTAAGCCATAAGCAGTTATAGCCACCTCCAGGAACAGAAATACTGTGCGTGCATGGATGAGTAGTGGAAATTGTGTGTGTGTGGGGGGGGGGGGTCATGAACAGATAATCAGTAACTGCCTCATATAAGGACAAGCCTGATTCAGACCAAAGTCAGCCTTTGTGAAATCAGAGGTCTGGAAGAAAAAAATGTTGCACTGAAGATGTTAGAAGTGCAGTGTTTGGGTTGCAGTTAGTTTAATCCAAAATCTAAATGTTTCCACTCGGTGGAAATGAATGGAAAACTTTAATTGGGGCCAGTGCCACATGGGCACATTTGAAGTGTGACAGCCAGCTGTGGGATCTGCAGTTTGGGCACCCCTGACTGCCTGCCTCCCTCCTGGACGTGGCGTTGTGGGTGATGTCCATTGCCTTTGTGTGTTCTGTCACTTCAGCCAGCGCATTGTGAGAGCCACGGTGCTCTGTGGGAGACGACGCTCATCCTTGTGGGTCTAGTGGGGGTGAACTGGGATCTGACAGCTTAGGGTGACTTGGATGAATAATGAGAACAACAAAACCTGAAACTTGAAAATGTGGAATCAAGATGCAACACTTACCACATATCTTTTGAAATGTGACTGTATTTGCTACCATTTCTTTAATGTGCTAATGCTTTTGCGATACTGTCTATTTGAGACTCCAAACTGCAACTAGACGAGATGCAGTTCTTCTCCTTGTTTGTCGTCTTTCTGCCTTTCTAGTTTGGGGAAATTCAGAGACCTTTTGAGAGAATGGATAGGGAGAAGGTGGGGGGACTTGTTTTTACCCTCTGTTTGGAAAATGCACTTAGCACACAGAAGACCTGGGATTCTGTATTGGGGTGAGTGGTCAGACACTTTTCTAGCCAAAAATATTTAAATAAGGTCAAACATCCCGGTAAGAGGGAGTAAATTCTCACTTCTCTCTGACACAAGCTATTTCCTCAGGGTCCAAACTCTGGATCTTTGTTTTTCACCAGGTGAAACTCTTCCTCTACCACAGGGGGTTTTCTCTCTTACCTGGACCATGGTGTATCCTTGCTCAATGATTTTAATAGTTTTAAGTTTAACCTTTTAAATGATGTAGGAAATCCACAGCCCTGTCAGTATCTTCACTATTCTGTATTCCAATCTCCTTCCAGTTTCTGAAGTCAAAGTGCCAATGCTTCCCTCGCACAAGCGTACAGACATCACAGTCTTCAAGCCCTTCATGGATCTAGACACTCAGCCAGTCCTCTTCATTCCTGATGTTCACTTTGCAAATCTTCAGCGTGGTGCTCATGTATGTAAACCTGTGGGTGTGGGGATGAAGAGGGCTATGGAATGTATCTATAAAGAGTTTAGGATGTTGTGTGTGTGCATAAATATGAAATGCCAAACTGTCTGCAGTGATGCTGTAAACAGTTACAGGCCAAGTCTCAAATGAGGACTCAAATGAGGACTCAAATGAGATATCGCTCCTAGCGGCACTGGCTGGAGTATGTTTTCTGAAGAAACTGTTTTCCTGTGAACTCCCATTTCCCTGAACCTGAAATGATTTTCCCAAAGCATCTCCAGTTCAGAGGTATTGTTGAATTAGCTGCAGGCTGGTTTTCTCTTGTAAAAACTGTTGGGTTTCTGGTGAACTGCTGTAGACCTTGGGCTCTCCAACCTGCTGCTGCAGTGAGAGGCCGTACTCTGGAACCGGCAAGCGTGTCAGTTCTGTGATGGGCTGCCAGAGCACCCTGCCTCAGTGTTCCTGGAAAGTCCCAGCTGACAGGAAACTGAAAGAGGGTGTGTGTGTGTGTGGGGGGGGGGAAACAGAGCGCAAACAAGTTACAAAATCTTGAACTTTCCTGTGTTTATATTATATTAAATTTTTCCTTTTTTTTTTTTTTTTTTTTAAAGGCATTGTCTCATCTCCTAACAGGGATTGAGAATAAATTTTGTATCCTCAGGGCAAACTTTTCCACATGTTTCATAGTGGAGAAAATCTGCAGTACGTTCCATAGTAGGGCCTATGGAGGCTTTACTACTGACTCTGTCAGAGAACTCTCTGCCAGTCTGTATAGGAGCATACAAGAGCTAATTGGCTTTCTTTGGCATTTTGGACCCCTTTCAGTTCTCTCTTTTTGTAAAGAGATAAAGATGATGCTTACTGGCTTTTGGAAGATTGAGCCAGTATCATTTGATACAGGGCTGAAAGATAAGAAGAGGAAATGAATTCTGGTTCTGGATAAAATGTTCACAATTCTAAGCAAAAGTATCACTTGCTTACTAAAATGAAGGCAGTGTTTATTAGGATAGAAGCATCTTAACTTCTAGCACTACAGTCAAGGCAGGCTCCCTACCTCACAGCCTCTTTTTCCCTACCATCTCCTGTATTAATGGGCTTATGGTTTAGTCAGGTAGGTGAGCCATCCAGCTGTCCCTCACAGCTCTTGCCATGGGTTCAGAAGTTCCCTCTTCCTTAACAACAACTTGATGCTATTAAACATCTGCTGTTCCATGCCAATGAATCGTTAATGCAAACAAAGCTGTTGCTAAGCTGCTATTAACAGGTAAAGCCTAGAGGGATGGAAGAGTATTGCTGACAGGACTATACTACCCCAGCAAATGGGCCTGGCCTTATGCGAATTTGTTTTGTAGAATTTGGAGCCCTTTGTAATGTTTTTGGAGGACTGAATGCCACGTGAGGTTCTAGCTAGGTATCTAATCAGCATTCATTTTCCTGCTTATGTCAAGAAAATCTTTTTGTTTTAAAAGGTCCTTCCTGTTGCTTCAGAAGAATTGGAAGGTGAAAGGTAAGAGCTGTGCTACTTCAGAATACTGAAGTCTTACTTCCAGGCAGAGAGCTAAGTTCCCATAACTATACTGCTGCTAACTTTTTGCTCTATTAATGACAGCTCCAACCTGAAGAGAGGAGCTTACATTGGTGAAGAGGATTTTATTGCTACTCCAAATAAGATGGCCAGAATAGAGGAACCAAAAAGAGGTATTATTTTCTTCTTTCAAAGACTGAATTGTTGGAATGTTTGTCCATCATGATAGAGACATAGATGTGAGGTTAAAAAGAGTTATTTAAATTTATTTTGGAGTATATTTTAGCCTGATTTTTCTGACTTTGAGTATAGTAGTAATCACGTATATCAGGATGTAGTCAAATTCTCTAGATCTCTTGCGTTACGAGAATTCCTGGGTTTTGATTCCAGCTCAAACACTGATTGCCTCTAAACTTTGGTGAACTGCTTACCTATTCTATGTCTCTTCCTTTACACTGCCTCCATGGCAGACTGGGGGAGGGAATTCATCCCCTAATCCAGTACAAAATACTTTGGAAACAGTCTGTAGGACTCGGTGATTAATGCCGAGAGTTGGTTGTAGGTACAAAACTATTGCATCTATCACAGTGCTAGAAAATCAGCTGTTCCTAGTTGAGAGCCAGACTGAACGGTTTGTTTGTTTATTTTAAATCTGTTGTCAGCCTTTGCTATTCGATATGAAATTTGATGTTGTCATGCTGTCGTGAAAGACGAGGTCCCTTTTGTTGATTATGTAGAGGATTACCTGCATGGTGACAGTCATGTGGAAGGACCATGCCAAGCCAAGAATTAAACTTGTGCCTGTGACTAAAGTCAAAACTAGCAAGCCTAATCTTAATAGGCTGCATTTTTTTAGCCTAGATAAACCAATAAGGAAGGATAGGTTTGTGTGTGTGTGTGTCTGTGCTTTTTTGTTTTTATTTTTTAAGGATACGAGACCTCATGGTTTCTCTTACTGTGGCATGCCATAAAATGAGACCTATGGGATTATCCTTCTTTTGGCTGCTCTGTCGTCACACTTGTGCTGTAACTGAGAGGCTTTATGCTGTCCTTGTCTCTTAAATCTTTATCCACTAGCAGTAATTCATCAGGCCGCTGTGCTGGCCCGAGTTCACCTTGTTTGACTTAAATACCCCAATAATTGTTTTATGTCACAGGTGTGTCAAAGCTGTGGTTGATCAACCCTCATAAACAATCCAAGTTGCAATACTTGGCTGTTAGAAGATGGGATTAAAGACAGCAAAAGCTGTTCAAGTGCAAGCTTCCTTGCTCTTCTGGCTTATTTCTCAGTCTTAATGCAGTTGTTAACAAGGCTGGTGGTTACGTACAGTGACTGTCTGCCAAGCTTGAGAACTCCAGGGATGCTTACCTGATTGAGTTTCTTATTCTTTCTTTCCTTTTCTAACTAAATCTGCATTGTGTCAGCTGGAGCATATGACTGTTACTGGAACATGGCAAGGGAAAGTAAGAGAGATGAGACTGTGTAAGAGGAGTAGGGGAGTGTACCAATAAAGGATTAGAAATGAGAAGGTGGCATCTGTTGGACTGTATTATTGTGCAGTCTTATGGCAGGTGACCTGTGAGATAGGTAGAACCCTAGAGGCTCAAAGCTCTGTGTTTTGCTTTCTTCATTTGTGTTTCAAATATAGTCTTTTATGAAATAATAGAGAAAATATCCAATAGAGAAAAATGCGAAAGTCTTTTGCCAATAAAGATGTTCAATGCATGAACATGCAGTATTTCTATGTGCAAAAAGTATGTTTCATGCTAGCCTAGCTATGCATGTTTCCTCTGACATCTTTAATGTATATTACTCCATACTTAGCCACTACTGTATACAGATCTTTGAGGAGCGATTGTGCAGTAAATTCATCTCTCTCATTTGTTTTCCAGTGTTGCTGTATGTCCGAAAAGAGTCGGAGGAAGTCTTTGATGCACTTATGCTGAAGACACCCTCTCTGAAAGGTTTAATGGAAGCTGTAAGTAATAAGGCTGTCTTACAGTCCTTGACTCTGGTTTAGGAAACAGTGACTGTGTAATCCCTGGCTATTCAGTTGTAATACACCAGGCAGTCATAGGAGCTAATAGGAAGATGTTTCCTGGCTTGGATCAGGCTTGAGTACTGGATACCTGAATTAGTCCAGAATGAATGTCTTTCCATACTGGAAACACAGGCTTCTAGGTTTGCTTGTCATGCGAGTTCTCTTTTGGCCAAATTGCATGAAAAGCTTTGTTTGTCTCTTCCTAGTTATGTCAAAAGCAGTCAGCAGACTCCTACTTTGACGGTCCCTCATATCAGAGATAAAACTTAAATTAGAAGATGGAATGATTTCCAGAATGGCTTCCGTGACTTGAGTTTATTTCAGTCTTTCCAAGCCTTGTTCAGGTGCCTGCCCCTCTCCCTTCCTAACTTGCCTGTAAAGAGCTCTTCTTTAAAGAAGAAAAGTCCCAGTTTCTCAGTGTGCTTGAAAGATTTTATATATCCTCATGCATATCCGTGAAATAGTCTCTGCTACTTGACTTCCAAAATAGCCTTCCGCTACCCCTGCTGCTGTAAGGCTACAAAGGAAATATAGAGCTTAACTCTGAGGAATGGTGTAATGTTTGGCGCAAGTTCAAAATTGATGTTTCTGGCTGTCTCTTTCTGTGACTAATGCCTTGTCAAGGCTCGGAGGACAGAGGTTTTAGGGCTGTACAGCTGGGTATTGTTGGTAGCTTTGGGACCCAGAAATGGCTCTGAAACATGAGACTCTCCTAGGTGCGGGACTTTGGATTGCAAAGTTTTTTTAGATCGCTCTCTTCTAAAAACCTGGGTGAGGAATAAGAGGCAGAAGAGGATTTTATTGATGTGTAATTACTGGGAGCAGCTCCAGTAGCTGTGAGCTGTTACTGTTAGTGTGCTGAGGCATAAGGCTTTGCCAGCATGAGAAGGCTTGAGATGAGGACTACTGCAGGGAAGGAATGAAGGCTGTGGAAATCCTCCCTTTCCCTGTCCTTAAGTGAAACTGCAGCTTATTGTTTCACTCGGATTTCTTAAAGCAGGCAACGAAGAGATCGCAAACGTAGACAGGAGAGACCTCCTACACCTTTTTATTCTGAACCAACATATTGGTTTGGTGCTTGTTGTCAGTGTGACAGCAGTTTGCCAAAGCAAATCAGACCTAGGACACTGACCTTATGACTCTGGAGGTTTGTACAATCGAGGGCCACGTGTAGTGGCTGTGACTTCACAGAGAGGTCACTCTGCTGGGCAAGGGAGGCCTTTCTGATCTTTTTCTCTTTACCAGCAGAGTGCTTTCCTTGGTTGCTTTTTTTCCTATGTTGGCCGCTGTAGTGACTGGCTTGCACCTGATCCCTCTGACATTGAATTTAAAAATGGTTTTCAGTGAGCTAAAGAGCACGGAGAGCCAACAGAAAATGAGAACCAGGGTATAGGGTGGTCTTTTGTTCTTCTTTTTTTCTTTTTTAGGAGCATTTTGCAATATGAAAAGGCAGTGGCCAGGTTTAGAACACTTTTATTTTTATTTTTTATTGAAGTCAGCAGGCTCCACAGAGGATGGCTTCTCATCACTGTGCTTATATTATAGTTCAGGATTTAGTATGTACCTTAGGATGGAGCAGTTATTTTGATTTGCAGACCTTTCACTGTTCCTCTACAAAGTAGAAGGCGGTGCTAGCAGTCTCCTTGCTTCACAAATGCTTTCTTTTGTTCTAGATATCTGACAAGTACGATGTTCCTTTTGATAAAATAGGAAAAATCTTCAAAAAATGTAAAAAAGGGTGAGTATGTACCTATACAACAACAGTCTGAGAATAACTCCTTTTTTCAAGCCTCTAGACAAATCTGCTTTGTAATCCCTCCACACGCTTTACATGTGCAAATGCCTTTGTGTGCACACACATACACTAATGTGCTAATCCTGTTCCAGTGTAACTCACAGAGCAGAAGACAGAAAAGGTCCTAAAGAAACATGTAGTCTGATTTCCTGTATAAATACAGGCGACAGGACTTCTCCAAGTTAATTGCTATTTGAACCAGAGTTGAGCTTGTGAGAGGGGGAAGAGTCTGAACTCTAATCATCGTGGTTCTCTGAACTTGCTTCAGTTTTTTAGCCTTCTTTCCTGAAGCCCCTTTGTACAGGAAGTCCTTTAAGCAGCTTTGGAATATATATTGAAGAGCTGTACATTCAGAGCAGAATTACCAAACCAGCCTTACCAAATAGCTGCAAAGGCTTTGAATCGGTGGTAACTAAACCACCGCTAAGGAGAGCTTATCTTGGGGATGGTGTTGGGGTATGGACCCCTGCGAACCTTGCATATGCACACAGGGATCAGCAGCTTCACTGCAAGCTTTGCAGGATTTTGTGCTAATTATTTATAACCATCAAACTAACTAGTTCGGAGCTCCAAGGATTGTCTGAGTGCCTCCAGCTTCAAAAGCATTTCTGCCAGTTTGGAGCTCAGTCTCCCTCCCTGGTTCTAGAGCTAGACTTGATGCTTTCTGTCAGATCATGAAAGTAGCTGCAAGCCTTGATAGCTACTTACCCGAAGTAAGCCAGATCTGCTAGAAACTGATGGGTCAGAGAGATGGGTGAGCAGAGATCCTGAGTTACTGAGATTGACTGTAGCTCTGCTAATTTTTCTCATTTGGAACTTTAATATTTTCCCCCTTTATTTTCTTTTCCCAGAATTCTGGTCAACATGGATGATAACATTGTGAAGCACTATTCTAATGAAGATACTTTCCAGTTGCAGATTGAGGAAGTTGGAGGATCTTACAAGCTCACTCTCACTGAGATTTAAGATCATTGATCCTCTGTGGATTTTTAAACGAAGGTCTCAAGTGAACATTTTCCCATAATGTAGTATGTTGGGTAAAACACTAATCATCTGCTCCAGAAGAAAGCCAGGTGTTGACTTCTTCTGGGAATCAGAGCAGTGTTTTTGTTTAATACATTTGTTTCTGTTCTTCCCAAGGAACACTGTAATGCTCATGACCTTATTTGCACTTGAAATGAGCAAGCAAAGATCAGGAATTAAATAGAGAGCATGTATAAAACACTAGTAAATACTGGAGGGGGAAAAACCTCTGGATGGTGGCTTTTTAGAGTGGTGATATCTTATTTATCTATTCAGTATCCATGTTTGAGCCTGTCGTCAACTAATAACGTTTTATTGGACTATTTTCTGCTAGATACAGCTGCAAAACTACTACTTGATACTAGTAGGAATTGCATGCAGGTTGGAGAAAGACTTTACAATGTTTACTCTTGAACAGGGCAGATTGTTGAAATCACTTGGTTAATTTGGGGGGAATGTAAAACTGCCTTGCTTATGAAGAACCCGCCTTAGTAACTGTGTGAACTCGTCAGATGAAGCTATATTGTATATAAGTGCAATATATTTTTGAAGGTTTGTAAATGTGTACATACAAGTGATATATAATATATAAAAAATATGATGTTCATGTATATACGGTGAATATATACAGTGAAGCCCATCTAAAAGGATGCCATATACAGAGAAAAACCAATATTTAATGTAGTTATTTAAAAACGGACAAACCCTTAACATGCACCAAAGGTGAGCACGCGCTTGTATGTTCAAAGAACGCACAGAGACCTACTTGTTCAGCATGTATTTTCCTACATGGAAGAAAAGGTACTGATTTTCTTCTAAACCCTTCTGTTCAGGCAGGTGATGGTAGTTCTGGCTTCTGCTAAGAGCTGCCAGTTTGAGTTCTGAAATGGCTGTGTTACTGCTACTCTTGGAGGTGGTCTGGGTGTCCAAGTCTGAGAGGATGGTCCCAAGAAGAGCATGTGCAGTTTCCTTGAAATCTCAGTACTCAAGGTTACTTGAAAACTCAATCTGACTCAGGGTCAGAAAGAAACTCGCGTGGATGGTGAATTACTGTGTAGCAGCATACTTCAGTCTCCTGCAAACTTTCCGTGGAGTCTAGCACAGCCGGCCACAGCAGCTCAGGCTAGGTGAACCCATGCGTTCCCGTGTGCAGGGTCCTAGGATGTCAACAACTTGACCTTTGAGAAAGGAAGGCCACATCCCAGTGCGGTAAGCCAAGCAGTAGCAGGGAAACGGGGGCTGTAAGCTGGCAAGGGCACTGTTCCTCGTGTACATCACAAGGCATCAAGCTGAGGGGGAGAGACCAAAAAAGGGCAGCTGGGAGCAGAAATCCTGAGTGTAGTCCCACTTGGCAACAGGGATTGCTGAAAACCTCAAAAACTGCCACTCTACCGTAGACTGTAAAATATTTACTCATCAGGTGTTTGTGCTTATGAAGCAGAGGCACTGTGTGATTAGTTGCAAGGGAGAGAGAGAGAGGTAAATGGCAACTCATCTCTAAGGCAAAACCTGAATCACAGGGTGGAATGTGACCATCACTTGCAGAGATAAGGATGAGTGCTGAGTCTGGTATCACTCACGTTTTCACTCAATGATCTTGGTAGTGGAAGAGGTTTATAAAACTTTCAGACAACGCAGAGCTGGGAAGAGCTGCATGCACATTGTGTAGGATGTGAATGATCTGGATAGGCTGGAGAAATGGTCCAGAAAAGCAGGATACAATTCGGAAAGGACAAATGTGGAGTCCTGCTTCCAGGAAGGAACAATCAGCACCAATGCAGGCTGAAAACCAACTGCCTTGGTTGCAGTCCTGCAGGAAAGGATCTGGAGGTGGTTGAATCATAACTGAATGTCAGTCAGCTATGTGATGCTGTTAGGGAGGAGGAGGCACATGCCACACTGAGTTGTATAAACAGGAGCATAGCCTGCAAAAAGTATAAGACTAGCCTTTTGCTCTACTTGGCATTACTAAGACCTCAGCTGGAATATTGTCCCCAGTTTTGAGCCCTGCCCTTCAAGCAGGGTGCAGGTCTATCTGATACCCCGGGAGAGTGGCCAGACTGCTTGGTACTCTAGAGAATGTGGCCTGTGAGGAAGGATTGGATGAGTTGTGTGGTGAGGCGTCGTCTTCAGAAGGGGAGACTGAAGAAAGCAAAGCCTTCAAATGTGTGAAAATGTTCTCCAAGTCCATTGCAAATAGAAGTAGTGGGCTTAAATTGCAGAAATTCAGGTTACACATTGAAAAGTGTTTTTTCTAGCAACAAGAGCAGGTTGCCTAGAGAGGCTGTGGAGTTTGACATCAGCAGTCCTTAGAGTCAGGCTGGATGAACGTATTTCTGGACTGTCACAGGTATAGTTGATTCTGCTTTGGTGCTGAGACTAGAAGTCCGCTTGAAATCCCTCCCCACACTTTTTTGATTTTTGCATGAATTATAGTATTCTAGGATCTGTATTTGGACCAATCCTGAGCTGGTTCATTCACCAGTCCATTCCCCCTCCCTCCCTCCTTCCCTCCCCCTCCGTTTCATTGCCGGCTCTGAGGCTTGCTGACGTTCTGGGCACTGTGTGCTCTTCTGTTCGCTCTGTGATTAACTCCCTGGGCTGGCGTTGAGCAAATGCCGCATGATTACAGCGAGGACTGCGAGCGTGTGGAAGCAGCCTGTAGGTTTGAAACCTAAGGAGAGAAGTGAGCCTGTAGCTTCTCCTGCACAGCACTGGGGAGACTGTGCATGCAGATGCAATCCCATGTAGGAATCCACGATCTGCAGAGCAGGGCAGCAATTAGATATATACCAAGCTGATATGAACCTGCCATTTGGGCTTCCATTCATGAATTATGGGGAATAATCTTAACTATGGCAAGGGAATTTTTAAACATGATACATAGAAATACATATATATTTACACATTTTTATTGAAAAATGGAAGTTTTATTACAGAAACTTGGTCTAGGGTCAGGGAAGTAGATTTAGAGTTTCCATAGAGGTAGAATGGACACGAACATTATTTCTTCTTACTGTTTAATGAAGTATGTGAACTAAATTTGACAATTGTTTTCCACTATAAGATATTCTGGGACACGGGTCTTATAACAGTAGCAGCTATGTCATGTATGTTTTATGAAACTTGATTTTTTTGTTTTGCCTGCTGTTTTTAATTGAAAATGTATTTTAAACCAAGCTATTACATTTTATATGTTCATTTCTAATGATGAGTCTTTTATACAGTAAACACATTTTTTCCCTCCACCCCTCTTGGGTTTTTTTTCCTCCTTTGACTGACAGAGGATCTATAAAACAAAAAAAGTGATCTTGCTCACTGTCTTATGCAAAGTACAGAAACATTCCCAATAGGAGGCTGGCTGCTATTCCCTGATAAGAAATAATTAGTGTCAGACTCCATTTTTATTTCCTGCTTGACTTCAAGCTACCCACTGAATTTCTGTGTGTGTGTGTGGAAGCTGTGTGGCATTTTGTTTCACTAGAATTCTTCCCTTTGGTGTTGAAATAAAAGGGGGGGGGGGGGGGGGGGGGGGGGGGGGGGGGGGGGGGGGGGGGGGGGGGGGGGGGGGGGGGGAGGGGGAGAAGGAAAAATTTACCAAAGAGGAAACCCATAAGTAAGCTCAAATGGGTAGTGAGTTTGTAGTGCCAGACAGTCTGTGCTGGCACTAGAGCTTAAATGAAAGCATTGGGACACTGCCTTCCAGTGCAGTAGCAGATGAGGTATCTAATGGCTGTGTGGGGAGAGAGTTGCAGGTGGTGGAGCTTGTGAACTGGCTTGGAGAGCAACAGATGCCAAGAGGGATGCGTGGCTGGATGCCTGTGTTGTCCCTGCAGACAGATAGCACTAAGACTGTGCAACATGGTGACAACCTTTACGGGTCTCTCCTTGAGATGTTTGCAGTGATTCCAGTCTCTGTCTCTGGTATGATATTATCTCCTGTAATCGCTAGCCTGTACAGCGGGAAGGATTGGTGCCTTCTGGGAGGAGCTGTGGGTAAATGACACTCCTCCTCCTGCCATCACCTATGGACTCATGGATGTTGACTTTACGGTGATGAGAACACCTGAATGAAGTCCAAACTAGTTTTTGAGGGTAATCCTATTGCTGCCTTTGCTCTAGTGTCTAAAGAGGCATTTGTCTTCTCTGTTGTTTGCTGTTCAGAAAACGTCTCAACAAGCCTTTTGTTTTAGTGCAGCTGTGACAGCCTTTGAACTCCATATATTCTTCAGCTGTGCCGTCACTCCTTCAGCTATCTTGAAATACCGCCACTGGCCTATCGTCTGTTCCTCAGACATCCTGTCTTGTGTAGGCAGGCCCAGGGCTCAGTGTGAAACAGCATAGGTGGCAGAATTGTCTTTGGACTAGAAAAATGCATGTAATATTCTAGTTCTTTGTGCAACGTGCACTCATGGAGCTTGTCTCCCGAGTGTAGCGAGATGCTGCAGGACCTCACCCAGCTCCACGTGTGTTGTCAGCCAGGCGGCAGTCGAGCACTGTAGTCATCTTCCCTGCTCTGAAGGTGAATCCTGGGATGCCCTGGGGGAGGTACAGGCAACGCGTTGAAGTGCTGAGTTGAAGTGCTGAGCGATGCAGCATGCTTCATCTCCTCCTGCGTTGGCACCCTTTAACAGATACCACAGCTGAGTGGTGGTTAGCCGACATACAGTCAGATTGCTGTAGCAGGGTGGTGCCTTGCAGAAAACTTCAGCGTGACCCTGGACCTGTTGCAGGTCATTTCTTGTGAGTTGTGAAATCGCAGCCAGCACTACCGCCTCTTTCCTGGGCACTTGAAAGCATCTTCTTCCAAAGGTGGTGTGGTGTGCGTGCATGTATGCTTACACAATCTCGCCTTCCTCCTCCTGCCACCTCATCATTCATTTTTTTTATTAATCAAGTGAATTAAAGGAAAATGTGTGTTTGAAGTAGCTCTTATCTGCAGAGGAGAATCACACTAGATCAAAGGTAAATTTCTAAAGATGCAACTTTGAACTCCCAAACCAGTCAGCCTCACAGGAAAATCTTGGTTATGTCCTTAGGGTGTGATTTGAGGCTCTAATATAACAAATACTCAGTTGAGCTTTTAAGATTTCATCTCTTCATATGGGAAATCTGAATTCTGCAGCAGTCTTCAGTTCCCACCAGGGGTCTTTTGTCTATTAAAATGAATTGCAAGAGATTTTCTTCAAGACTTTGCAAGAGCACAAAGCTTATGTGCCCCTCTGTGTGGTTCGTGTTTATTTTTTCTTCAGCTAAATGAATTGGTCTAATAAAGTATGAGGTCTCCCCAAACAATTGTTTTGCTTTTTCTTCTTGGGCTATGCTACTTAGCACCCCCAGGGCTGCTTGTTCCTTGGTTGGATAGCTTTGCATAGTTCACGGAACCATGGAAGGCTTTTCTGGCTTTTTCCTTTTTGGATAGTTTTCAGTAGCTGCTGTGGCAGGTGCTGTTGCACTTTGCGATCTCTTGTTTGCGCAGGGCTATATTCCATTATCCCATCGATCCCTTCTCCTGTGCACACAGTCTCTGAATTGATGGCATGCCTGGTAGATTAAGTGTTATTTATTTTGCAATGTCTCAAATGTGTCCATCCTGCACGCTTCAGATACATGCACAAATATACCCGAGAAAGCAATCTGGTGAGCAGTGTCAACTGCATTAAATTGCAGTGCTCCTGCTGTATCACTGGTTCTCTTGGACAACATGCTGAGTAAATAGATGTGCCTGGCGTTGGCCTGCAGAGTGGCGAACTTGGCCTTTTGTTTGCTGGTCAGAGGCACGCGCAGGGCAGAGGCCCCCTCCAAGGGTGGAAGGAGAGTTTGGCTTCCAAGCCTCACAGCCGGCCCAGGCTGCCAGGGGCTGTGACACCCCAGGAAGAGCACAGGCTTTGGGCAGCAGGTGCCCTGATGTCCAAGTGTCAAAGCTGGGTCTCCGGTCACCTGGTTGTAGCTGCTGTCTGAGCAGTCCCCCTGAGGGAGATCACAACCTTCGGGGTGGCAGGGCCCAGGGCTGGCGTGGGGTGGACATGGTAGCTGAGGTGACACCTGAGCTCCGGGTGTCGTAGGCAGGGAGAGGTAGAGCACAGGACGGCTGCTGCAGCTGCATCGGTTGCTGGGAATTGGAGTGAAATCTGAAGGGGGGAAAGGAACAGGGTGTAGTGTTTCCCCAGCAATGGTGTTGAGTCCGTGTGTTCAGTTGCCTCCGAGGGGACACTCAAGTGTCAATCTCCAGCAGCTGAGAAAAGCCAGAAGGGCTCTGACTCCAGGTGACTGATCTATTTCTCACTGCATCACGAGACCTGCAGCCTTGCACCTCTCCCATTGCAAAGGCGCTGCTGGGTGCTCCCCGGCATGCAAGGGGAGGAGGTGGCAGGAGCCCTGGCCTCTGTAAAGCCGTTGAGGTTGCACCAGCGGTGGTGGGGCAAAGTGAGTACAGCCCTGCCTGAGCTGGCTTTCCTGCTCTTCAGTCAGGCACCTGCCCCAGGCAGAGCCCAGCTGCCAGCCCAGAGCTGTCAGCGGGCGAGCAGCTTCGTGCCTGCACGGATAAATGCCATGATGCAGCAGTTTTGGTGCATCAGTCACTGCTTGGCAAGTTGGCCGCAGATGTCCCAATCACCTAGCTGCTCCTCTGCGCCAGTGCCTGCGGGGTTGCTCCCTCTGTGTTATTCTCCTGAGAGCTGCATGGATTTGGTTGTGGCTGGGGCCTTGCCCTGGCAAGAGAGGCAGTTTCACGAGCTGCTGCTCGCAGGCGAAGCCGTGTTGGGGTTCCAGCAGGAGACTCGCACTGTGGGAACAAGGCAGACCCCAGCAGTTCAGCCCTGCGTGCATCCTGCAGGCTGGAGCCTTGCTCTGCACTCGGTAAAGCTGCTCATCTAGGAGTCAGGGCAAGGAGGGGTTTGAGAGGGAAACTGAGGCAGAGGGAGCGGGAAAAGGTGCAGGGGGCCAGTGAGGACGAGCTTCAGTAAGGTCAGATGTGGAGAGGGTGGCTGGGAGGGCAGGAAGCGCAGCTGGAAGTGACTTTGGGGCTGGCAAGGCACCAAAAGCATAGCTCCTGCAGCCGGGCTGAACTCCCCCAGGCCTTGGGGCAGTCAGCCCTGTAAAAATCATACAACATTTTGGGCCAACACACAGGTTGATAAACTTTTTGGAGGTGGGTTTGTGATCCCTGAAGCTTTAGCATTAGCTGTCCTGCCCATCTGCCTGCGTCTGTGCAATGCTGGGACCAGCTGAGGTAACCAGCAAGTTGCCTGGAGCACAGGGAGAAAAGGAGAAGAAACCGTGAGCCACAGCCAGAGGATCTGTACCCCGGAGAACGGATCTCAGCCCACGATGGTTTTGGGATGTGGAGGAAAGAAGCAGGGAAATGCCGCAGATAAGGTTTGGTCGTGACCAGCTGTCTCTCCCTCAAGTGAAGAGAAGAGCCGTTTGGCAACCCTTGGGAAGCTGTGAGCGCTACAGCCGCCACGTCTCCTCTCTTCCTGGAGCGGTGACCTGGAAACCCGGCGAGGCTGGACTCTGTGGACAGTATCTGGGGTCAGGAGGGCTCGGGGCGACCCGAGGTAAGGCAGCTCCAGGGCACTGTTTCCGTGCCGCAGCACCCAGGGACCGCGGTGGCCGGGCACCGGCCGTGTATGGTCCTGCACCGCTCAGCCGGGCGGCACAGCCGGCTTTCTCCCAAGAGCTGGTGTGAAGCCACTTTTAATTTTATTCTGGTGAAGTTTGCTTGCTTTTTCTTTTTCAGTAAATAATTACATGAGCGTTGCAAACATTAATAAGTAAATAAAGTACAAGGGATCGCTCCGTGGTCAGCTCCGTAGGTCACGTCTCCGCAGTCATTGCTCTGTGACTCTTCTCCCATGAAAAGCTTTGCTTTTGAGTGCCGAGGAAAGCCTTTCCGCTGGCGACAGCTCGCCGTGGAGAGCCGGCATTGCGAGCACCGGGCCGAGGAGACGGCACGAGCCGCCGAGGGCCCGCACCCGCGTGGGCTGCTGACGGCGGCGTATCCAAAAACCAGGCCTCCCTCTCCCCCTCGCTGCTGCTCCTTGTGCTTAAAAACAAGCTCTTGGCTGCTTGTAGAAAGGGCTGGTCGAGACTTGCCACGTAAAAGGCCTCGGGTCCGGATAATGTGGGTAATTGTGTGGGACAAAAGGAGACAGTTATAAAGGCGGTGACAGCAAACATCGTAAAAGCTATTGCTTTTTGAATTGCCTCTTGCCTGCCAGGCTGCTCCCCCTTAATGGGACAGCAGCTCCCTACCGTTGTTTTGTCAGTGAGAAAACTGCAACCCGACCTCGCGCGTTTTTACGCCTGAGGGGCAGCGGGGAGGCCGAAGACGTTTACAGCGTCACTTTTGGATGTGGATTTTAAGAAGCTGAACAGAGGTGACGGTTTCGGCAAGCGAAGGGCCTAAAGGCGCGCGCG